GGCAAGATTTTTTTTCCAGCACTAGATCACCCTTTTAGAATTCTCTTGGATGTACTTTCTTGTCATGAGGCTTCATCATCCGTTTCTGATACATCTGTCCATGGCAAATAGCTTTCAATCTCTTCTCCTCAATAAGGTTCAATTGATCAAATCGAGCTTGGATCCATTCAGATTCATCCAAGTTTACCTCTGTCAAGATTCGAAGTGATGAAGCCTTTTATATTGCCATTTAGAATGAAGATGTGTGTAAAGCGAATGAAAAAGTCATGTTGGATTTGTAATTTTTTTTTCATTTATATAATCAACTAGAAATTCCCTCTAATCCGTGGCTTTCCTCCGGATCACTGAAACTATGGATGGTATTACGACTGTATGGCTTGGAAAACCTGCAGTGCTATATAAGAAATCATATCGAGTTGGCCAAACATTTAGATAACCTGGTTGTTCAAGATCCAAGATTTGAGGTAGGTGTGCTCTTATATATATATAATTGATGTAGATCTTAAGAGCCACCTATAAGTCATTGTGACTGGAAACGGCATGCTGATGAGCAAAGTTTAAATGAAATGATCAAACAGTTCCTGCTTTATGTTACAGATGATTCATCTAATACCATTTTAGAATATTAGACATTCACATACATGAATATAGCCACCATGGGCAAGTTTTAACTGAAATGATTAAAATATTAGACATTCACTTGATTGCTGTGAAGGACCTTAGTTAAACAGGAGTGTCAGAGCAAGTGCTTTGTGGCAATGACTCTATCCCCTACGAGCACCATCTAATGTTTAGAAGTTCATGATATTAATAATGAGCAGATACCGACAATAAAGTCAGCCATTTTGGATCTGTTTAGATTTAAAAAATATATAAACTAATAAGGCAAACTTCCTTGATATATATTGTCTAATCCTTCTTAAACTAGGACATGTGACGAATTGGAACTAGAGCTATAGCTGTACTGCATCTTAATCAGGTTGCACATTACAATGTCTGCTTAAAGCATTGGAAAACTGGGTATATACAGTTGTCGAGAGGTCGCAAGAGTTTTCCTTTTTATCGGATCCCAAGTTCATGATTATCATAATCAGGCAGATGATGTAAGATTAGTTGTCTAATGATACCAACCAACTCCATAATGCTGTATCTATAATCCAATCTGCTGGCTTTTCATTTTTCATGTTTAGCCTTTAGTGAAACTCTCTCGTAAAGTCTAATTTGATGCCCTGATGCAACAAAACAAACAGAATATAGCCTTGTCCTTAAGAGAGTCACAATTCTCAAGACGTTGGACTAATAAGAAAGATAATTTCATTTACTATTCTTTTGCTCATACACGAGTTGATGTCTATGGTTGATTTATGTTAAGAAAAAAATGCAGTGTTAATGATGGATCACTTGTATATCTCATCTGAGCAGGTCGTCGTCCCTCGGATATTTTCATTAGTTTGATTCCGTTTTCTGCCTCCTAATGATGAAGATCATGGCAACAAATTGAACCATGAACTTTTAGATACTGTAAACTCAACAGGGAATGTCTTCATATCGCACACGGTAAGTGTTCTATGTAGGGTACCTGAACTAGTGGTATATGCATTGTTGGCACATTATCTAAGAGCAATGAGGATATTTCATTAGTTGATTCCGTTTTCTGCCTCCTAATGATGAGATCATGGCAACAAATTGAACCATGAACTTTTAGATACTGTAAACTCAACAGGGAATGTCTTCATATCGCACACGGTAAGTGTTCTATGTAGGGTACCTGAACTAGTGGTATATGCATTGTTGGCACATTATCTAAGAGCAATGAGTTAAATGATAAATGCAGGTTTTATCAGACAAATAGGTGCTAAGGTTTGCGGTTGGTGCTCCATTGACAGAAGAGAAGCATGTGAATGCAGCATGGAAAGTTTTGCAAGATAAGGCCACTTCCTTAATTACTGGGGGAATCCTTCTGCTAAATTTTCTCTTTATCAGTAATTTGGAATCAATACTGTATTTAATTTTAAAGTTATATTTGTTTCAAAGTTAAACTGTTTACCCCTTCATAATTCAATAAGAGAAAATAATTTCAGTGATCGAAAATGTCTTATAATATACAATTTTAACCAACTTTTTTGGATTTGCAAAAATAACCAACGAATTCGCATCTCGAAATCGAATTCGCAACTCGAAATCCAATTTCGCAACGCAATTTCCGAATTCGCAACACAGAAGTAGAATTCGCAACTCGAACATGGAAATTTTTGCAACTCGAATTCGCCAATTTCGCAACTCGAATTCGCCAATTTTGCAACTCAAATACCCGATATAGGTAAACACGGTAAAAAAATCCGAATTCGCCAATTTGAAAATTGAGTTGCGAATTTGGCAAATTCGTGTTGCGAAATGTAAAATCATTTCGACGGTTCGTTTGTTTGGTTAAAGTTAAACGAACGAACATGAACATACACTCGTTCGTGTTTGTTCAATTCATTTACAGGCATATGTTTAGCTGAGTGATTCATACGTGGACTTAGCAACTGAGATTTTTCTTTAAGAGGCGAGATTTTACATTTCGCAACACGAATTTGCCAAAATCGCAACTCAGTTTTCAAATCGGCGAATTCGGATATTTTACCGTGTGTACCTATATCGGTAATTGAGTTGTGAAATTGGCGAAATAGAGTTGCGAAATTGGCGAATTCGAATTGTGAAAACGAAATTCGCGTTGCGAAAATTTCCATGTGGGAGTTGCGAGTTCTACTTCTATGTTGCGAATTCCAAATTTGAGTTGCGGATTCGGAAAATATGTTGCGAAATTGGATTTCGAGTTGTGAATTCATTGGTTATTTTTGCAAATCTAAAAAAAATTAGTTAAAATCGTATATTATAAAGCATTTTCGGTCATTCAATAATTCTTCTCTCCCCGATCCTATTGTAAAGAGGTGTATAATGATTGATTTGGACGGTCAATATTTTTTTCTAGAATTTTTATTTAAACATATTTAATATAGATAAACCGAAATTTCTTGTTTTAATATCAGAAAATAAAATATTTATATTTATATATTTTTATAATTAAATTTAAATTAAAATATTTTATTATAAACTATTAATTCGGGTCAGAATAAAGTAATCCAAATTAGAATTTTTTTTAAGTATAATTGTGCTGAACACGTACAAATACAACAGAATTTAAAGCATACCAATTTGGAAGTTATTTCTACCGGTGAGCTACCACAACAGCAATGAAGATAAGCACACAAATAAGAAGAGTGGAACCGATACTAACATTAGAATGCTACCAAACTCTGCTGTGCGCACCCTGCTAATTGACCTTGAACCTGAACAACAACACTCCTCTCCTAACTTCAAATCTCCAGAATAGAGATGAACCCCTGAATTCTTGATTCTTATGACGCTCCCCAGCAAAACGCAGCTATTGGTCCCTTGGACGTTGCTGTTGGTATGGATGTTGATGCAGCAGCAACCTTCCGGCGGTTCGCCCGAGCTGCTGCTGCCACGGCGGATGAATGTCGTTGCCCCGACATTGCTTCCTTCCAAGTTAATGCGGTTCAACGACCCTAAGCTGATTTCTGGAGTCGTCCTGGTGCTGGTTCTTGACATTGTTCGATTGGGGTTTTGTTTTTTTTTTCTTCTGATGGCTTTGTTTTTGAATTGTGTGGGGAAATAATAATAATAATAATAATAAGAGATTCCGAGTCCATCGCCAATGCTTTTGCTTTGCTTGCGCCGTGAGGCCACTTTCCGCCCGCTACAAGAAAAATACAAGGTTCCATACTTGTAGTGAAAGGCCAAAACACGAAAATGACAATGACAGCAAATAGGAACAAGAAAACTTGGCACTGAAACATGAATATTATTACAAGAGTAAAATACACCTCCGATCCCTCAATTATGTGTTTGGTAAAGAGTTACTATTTTTCTAAATGTTACAAACTAGTCAATCAATTAGAATATTATTACAAACAGATCATTTATAGGTTAAAAATGAAACATTTCTATTGAAACATGGTATAATAACAATTTTAATACCAAAAATGATTCATTCTATTAATTTAATCCTAATTTGAAACAATTTAATGAAGTTAACCCTTCATATTTAAAATTTCTATAAATTTGATCCTTTTACAAATTAGCTTACCCTTATTCCCATATGTAATGGGGTAAGGGGGAGGTAGGATAGTAGGCTGCCCCCAACGCCAGGTTGAGAGCAGCTTCCGTGGGAGACCTATGAATTATGAACTCGATCCCACGACCTCAAGGTTAAGAATCTTATGCTCTACCAACTGAGCTGGACGGTCATTTCCAAAAAAAAATTGATCCTTTTACAATATTGTTAAACCAAGAGAGCACATCAAATTAAAGTTGTAGTTAAATAATATTTAAATGACTATTATCGAACATATAATTACTTAAGATCACCTAATAATAAATTAGGTTGGAGATCTGAAAATTGGGTGACAAGGGATTGAGACTGGGTTCAACTTGATCCTTTCTCTTAATTTAGGCCATGGAAAATGTGAACAAACTTCAACAAATTCGAAATATTACAATATCGATCATTAGAAAATCTCGTAAAACTTTGGGTGTTCCCTTGCATAAAATTGAATTTTATGTGTTCGTCTCTGGCAGTAATGTACCATTTGATTCAAATTGCATGTTATGGAATCTTTAGTTGCATTACTCAAACATGGAGTGTGCTACATGCAGATATATTTAACAAGATTTCATATACTAAAAATTGATTTTAAAGAATCGAATCCGCCAAGTATATTGCCTGTTGAATGTCACTTTCTTAGGGTAGCTGCAGCAGTATATTGGATATAATTGAAGGAGAAGAGAGATGATTTGAAAGCAAAATTCATAGGAACGAAACAAAATTTATATTCTTCAGTCTACAACTGAATTTTTGCCAGTATTAGAAACTTCGACTCTACAGCTTGTCCTAATTACAGTGGAACATTTGTCCTAAGCACTACCTTATTGCACATCTTTGAACAAATATTACCTTCAGTGAATTATTTATTAACTCTACCATTCCTCCGGCTTATTTTCCGTTCCGCTACTAAGGTATGCCGAGTTGCTAAGCGTTAACTGTGCATGAATACCCCAAATTCACTCAAGGGGGTAATGAGTTAACTACCTTGACATGGAAATTACTTTTCCTCTACTCTGAGGTTTTGGTTTAATATCTTGATGTGCAAATCTGTCGGTCGAAATTACTTTTCCTCTACTCTGAGGTTTTGGTTTAATGTCTTGATGTCCAAATCTGTCGGTCGCTATTCGTAACCGAGTTTGTCAAGTGCTGTGAGAGAAAAGCAGCAATACCTTGTTCACTCTTGGATAGAGCCTTAGCTTCCAATGCCCGAGTTGAAGAATTTTGGGACAGGCGATCTGTTTCAAAATTCTGGTATGCCACTGGATCTTGATGAATACTCGGTTACCAACTTTAGAAACATGGATGATTTATCCTCGAGGAGACGTTGCGGTGTATCAAACTCTGCTACTCGACCTGCAAATAAGTTCCCAATTCATTGTACATAGATGAATAATACTGAAGCATCTCAAACTTTAAGATGAAATACTCAAAGATATGTTTTACATACCATCACTTAGCACCAAAACAAGATCACTGTCGATTACTGTTGGAATACGATGTGCAATAGTACAGACTGTGCAGTTCTTGAACTCCGTCCGGATGATCTTCTGTATGAGATTGTCAGTGGCAGTGTCAACTGATGCTGTCGCTTCATCTAGTACAAGTATTCTTGCCTGTTTGAGCAAAGCCCGGCCCAGGGAAACAAGTTGTCGCTGCCCCACGCTCCAGTTATCTCCGTTTTCTGAAACTGCATATTTTTACATCAAATAAAAATGATCAATCAACAACATGGAACTTCAAAGGGCTTTTGCCTCTCCTTACATCAATGGTGTCCAGGAGGGATGGTACAAACCTAGTGCATCAAGCTTGTGTTCTTTCTCACGAACCATGTCTCCAAGCTGAGACTTCTCAAGTGCCTGAGACAGAAAATTTCAGTACTTAATTCGGTGCACATCGTTCAACATGATCATATTACAAGATTCAACAAATCATATTTCAGCATGGCAAGATTGTTACTTGAGAAAAGATGATATAGACATTAATGTTCGAGAATTGTTTTGGTGCTAAGTGGTATTTGTAAATCAAGTGTATTTTTCTAATAATGATGATGTTCGTTAAGTGTTTCAAACTAGATCAAACGTATAATTTATCAGTAACAACTTATTCTAGAAACTGATAATCTCAGTGAAAAGAACGACAAAATCTTCAATAAAAGAATTATAAACTCGGAAATTATTTAAAATTACTAGAACTATTAATTATTTCAGAGGTGAAGAACATTGAGAATGTGTATAAAGAGATAAATGATAGAACTTGAAAGAAGAAACCTGTGAACTCAACAAAACTGGTGAGCATGCAAGTGAAACTCATACCTCCCAATTATCATGATCTGAATGCTCTTCAAGAGGATCAAGATTGCATCTAATAGTTCCTTCAAATAAAGTAGGATCCTGGGGAATGATACTAAGACGGCTACGAAGGTCATGGAGCCCAATTGTTGAAATGTCGATGTTGTCTATAATGATTTTTCCACCGGCTGGTTCAATCAATCGGAACAATGCTTGGATCAAAGTGGATTTACCGCTGCCAGTACGCCCAACAATTCCAATCTTCATGCCGCCAGGAAAGGCACAGGATACCCCATGAAGCACCACAGGAAGATTTTCACCATATCGAACCTTCAAAACAAGGATATAAAAAGAAATGAAAAAGTCAGCATGTGGTGCCTGTAATATTTAAAGAGAAAATGTTTAATCCTTTTTCTCCAGCATCATTGGAAAAATAAAACCATGCATCCCCCATTGATCACACTGTCCTCTACAATCTCTCCCCCTCCTTTTTTGGGATGAAAACAAAAAACATTAACAAAATCCAAATTTCCCAAATAATTGAACTTCATCAAGCAAGGGAGAAGAGAATACAAAGATGACAAAACCGATATTCAGTTTTTAGCAAGAGGAGTTCTTGAAATGACACGAGATTGTACAATATCATGCAATGAAGTACTACTGGGAAAGAGCCAATGAAGAAAGGGACACATATTTATGTTACAAGTAAAAAGAAAGTACTGCATGTTGTCATGAAGAACAATTGGATATGGTATACCTTTAAATCAACCAATTCAATTGTTCCATTTTCGGGCCATGAGGACGGAGGGCAAGAGTTTTCAATAACAGGAGGAGCTTCACTCTGAATTTGGCTGTACTGATAAATCCTCTCTATGGAAATAATTTTATTCTCAAGCTTGCAAAAGCTAAGTATCCACCGAGATAGCCGTGCATTTAAGTTAAGGCCATATGTCACAGCAAGGCCAGCCATACCTGTTTAGAAGCCGCAGGAATCATTAACACCAACATTTACGATGACTAACAACATTTTTTTTTCATTTTTGTGATATATCTGATATAGTATTGTACTAATGAAGTTTATCTGGCTCTCCACCTCTTGAAGGATCAGAGGGAAATTTGTCTTCCGTATCCTAAAGCATAGTAGAAAAAGGAATGCACAATAATGTAACTGAAAGTACCCAAGAACTCTAGGGGCCCTCATAAAAGACACGCTGCAAAGCAATCACTTCAGTATAACATATCCCTTGACCCTTGTGAAAATGAAAAAAATGATGGGGCTAGGATTTTAGGATTGGCTGTGCACTCTGCAGAACAAGATTTTAACAAGGTAAAATAAAGAATTTCCAAAACTAAAACACACCAATCGTTTACTTGTCTTTAAATTTGTAAGTGAGATATCAGTTTTACTTTAAATTTGCAGTGCATATCACTCAGGACCACTCGATTTTTTTACAAAAATAAGCAGATAAATAAAATTATAATTCAAAATATTTGCTTACTTGGATCAATAGTTCCATGTGGAAAACTCACGAGCAAAATCATGCAAAAAGCAAATACAAAGGTTGAAAGTAACTCCATCCGCAGGCAGCAACTCATCAGACTTGAAGAATGAGAAAAGCAGAATAGACTAAAAGAAATAAACTAGTAAATAAGGTGATTCCATTTCTCTCGATCTATGAGAGCAATCGAACTCAACAACAGAAATTTTAGGTAAATAGAAGCAACTACCTGCATCCACAAGCAAGCAATAGTCATCGGGACAACAAGCAGAAGAACTTGCCAAGTAACTTCTGTCATCACGCCAACAATCCCGAGAAGCTGTATTGTTGTTGAAGCAAACCCACCAAGTCTAAAAGGAATATCAAGGTCCACAACACTTTGATCAATAGACACCTGCGATTTTACAATCGACCAACATCATATAATCTGAATAAAAGAAACTGGACAACAACAAAAAAGATTATTTTGCAACTAACAGTTAAAAGAAAGAACTTACTCGATTCAAGATGCGCCCAGAAGGAGTTGAATCAAAAAAAGACATTGGAGCACGAAATACACTTCTAAGCATATTGAGAAACAGTTTTTGTGCAGCTGCTAGACCGAACGTAGCTACCAGAACAGCCCTGACAAATATAAACCAAGAACTCCCAAATGCAAGGGCCATATAAACAACAAGTAGGACCATAGAACTGACTTTTGCTTCGTCTTCTTCAGTCTGGGGATTAGCCCATGCCATCCACCAGTTACTAGCTATTTGAAGGAACTGAAATAATGTTTGTGCAACAACAATGAGCGGTATCAAAATGCCTTTATATGCAGCTGCCATATATGATAAGTACACCTTCATGCTGACTCTTCCTTTTATCCTTTCCTCTTCTTGAACAAGCTGTTTTTTCCTCCTCTTTGCTTTCTTTTTCTCTTTAATTGCTTTCTGGTCTGAAGCTGATGCACCATCTTCAACTTCCTTGACCAAACTGTCAATATTATTTCCAGCTGAATCACATTTCTTATTCAGTATTTTTGGCCCATCGAGAAGCAAATTTTCATCTGAATCTTCTGATGAGAAACTTGGAATATCCATTGCTTCAATTGCTTCATGGTGAGCTGAGACCAGAGCATTGAAATCCGTGCCTGCTTGTAAAAGTTCATCATATTTTCCTGCCTGTATGATGCGACCTTCCTTAAGAACCTGAAATATGATTGATGACATGAGAATAAAATATTCTGAACACCATACTAAAACAATCTATTAAGAAAAAAAGGGAAGCAGAAAATTATAGTGGATCCCAGAAAATGCAACAACCGAATCTTGAACTACAATTACTCCAAAGAAAACTCATCATATGAAAAACAGTTGAATGGGGAACGAGGAGCTTTCAGTCAAAAAACACATGTTCAACAGCTTTAAGCTTGGCTTCCCTGTAAAGGTACAATTAATCTCACATGCTACTATTTAGACCACCCTTTCTTTTTTACTGTTCAGATGTCAAAAACAAATATATCTAATTCATTAATTAGATAATAGTTGAATCATTACTGACTTTGCCTTAGTATTTTTGACAGTGTGCTGCTACCTCCTATGGTGTCTCATGTAGCATGTCATTACAATCTAATTCAGATAATCATTCAACCCAGCTACTTTAGCATTCGATCATTCATATTCTAGAACCTCCAAAACTGGATGTGAATTGGATAAAGAGAGCACATGAACTCAATGAAAAATAATATTCTATGGCTTGGGAGGTGACGAGAGCGCACGGCCTTGAACAAGGCTTAGTCCAGAAAAATAATATATATTTTCTCAATGAAAGGGAAGGCAATGCACAAGCAAAGCCATGAACTCGAGTTTGCAACCAATAAACATGTCTGTGTGGCCAAAAACAGAACAATAGAAAATTATACATGCCACCAATGTCATTTTAGAACCTTCAAGAAATAAATCCAATCAAAATACATGAGGAAATTAATATATAAAACATGTATACAGCATCCACTTTATCAAAAACTTGGATTTTTTTAACAATAAAAACTAACACCTCAACAAGTTACACTATCTAAAATGTTTTGCTTCAATTTTCTTCAGATCATATAGAAACTTAAGCACACAATGTGCTACGGCTTGAATTTTAGTAAGCACCATGCATTCATCCCATGATAAAGAGTGCACTTAAAGCATACAACATTGCATACTAGAGTGCCAGCTAAAAAAAACATTCCATACCAGTATCAAATCAGCAGAGGGCAGAAACTCAACTTGATGTGTCACAAAAACAACAGTCTTACTCGCTAGTGCTGTCATTATGTATTCCTGCAGTTCCAAGTAAATGACATGTCAGCCAAATTACATTGTTATGAACAGCAATATATGTGGTATATTGACTGAGTCATACCTTGAATAGTTCTGAGCCGGTGTGAGCATCAACAGCACTGAAGGGGTCGTCAAGTAAATATGTATCAGCATCTTGATAAAGTGCCCTTGCAAGCTGCACACGTTGCTTCTGTCCACCACTCAGATTGATACCCCTATCTCCAATTATGGTCTGATCTCCATGTGAAAAAAGTTCAAAATCTTTCTTCAGTGAACAAGCATGGATAACGTTCTTGTATTTAGCTTTATCCATCGGACTACCAAAAAGAATGTTCTCTTCAATATTTCCAGACTGTATCCAAGCAGACTGAGAGACATAGGCAGTAGTACCGCACGCTCGAACCTGTTTGAACATCAAATCGAAATATAGCAAATCTAAAACCCTTCCCATTGTAAGAGGGAGAAATTAAAAATAGCAAAGAATAAAATTTGAGGTGGAAAATGGTTTAGAAGTATTATGAACCAGACTTACTTCACCAGAGATTTTAGGGATCTCCCCGAGGATGCAAGAGAGAAAGCTTGACTTCCCAGAGCCAACCATGCCACAAACTGCCACATGCATCCCGCTTTCTACTTTCATTTGTATTCCAGATAATGTGGGCCTGGAAGAAGAGGAAGGATCCCAGCAAAACTCACCATCCTTGATCTCTATAGCCACCTTTGACATTCCTCGAGGCAGAACAATGGTGGCGTCTTCCTGCAGTTCTTCTTCCTGCAGGAATCCTGATATTCTATCAAGAGAGACCTTTGTCTGAGCCATCATAGACACCAGGTCTGGAAAATTCCTAAGTGGCTCTTGAAGGATTCTGAAAGTGGCAAGTGCGGAAAGAACACTGCCTGCTGTGAGTTGACCTCCCAACAATATAGATGTGCCAAATGTAACAGCTGCAACAAATATTGGGGAGCTCCAGAAAATGAACGTAATAAAGGCCTGTGAATAGAGAGCTTTTCGTAGCCACCTGAATTCTACATCCCGCATCTCCTCCAATTTAACACGGTACCTCTCCTCCCAGGCTTGTAATTTCAGAATCCTCATGTTCCTTAGACACTCGGAAGTCTTCCTCATTCTTTCATCCTTGGCAGTCATTAACTTGTCTTGATAATCTTCTTGGACCTTTGCCAAAGGAACAGTAACAATTATGGATACAACGGTTGCAACCAGTGTGGCAATGGAAGCAATACCTACATTTTTATATAATATCGCAAGAGCAAGAATTATTTGCAAAGGAAGCATCCAAATGTCATGGAGATACCAAGAATAATCCCCCACTCTTTGAACATCAACTGCCATGTAATTAACAATTTCTCCACTGGTATGACTTTGTTTAGCTAAGCTTGAGAGCTTCAACCCCTTTTGATAGACCATTGCCGTTAGAGCTGATCTAACATGCATACCCAAAATGTCAACCCCGAGATACCACTGCCTGGTCGTCAGTGTCTCTATGAGCTTGGATACAAAAAATATTCCAGCAAGTACATAACCTTCATGAGGGAAAGTCTCCTTCCCTCCTAGGTAATCAACAAAGTAACTTATCATGTATGGGCCCACATAGGAAACAATAGTGTTCAGCAAAGCAAATACAGCATTACCAGCTGCTTCCTTCCAGAATGACTTCAAAATTGCCCAAGCCAAAGAAGGTTGCTTTGACTGGTTTTCAGCCTTCAGTTTTTCCCAATTCGAATTCAAAACCTTATAATTAGTCTTGGCTCGATCTTTTAGTGCAAGAAGGGGAATGTCCTTAAGCTCAAGCGGTCTCTTTGCACCAATTGAAAGAAGTGGATTAAGCCAAGAAAGTATAGCCAAACTAAAGAGTCCAGCATCACTATAAGGAGTTACCTTAAGACAGCCTGCCTCTTCTTCAAGCAAAGGCTCCTGAAGATCAGGATTTCTATACACTTCTATACCGGTTGCACCCCTAATTCCTACAAAGCAAAGAAATGCAAGAGCTGGGGTCACAGCAAAATTGGCCAGTACATGTGAAGTCAAGTGGTTCGAACCATCCACTAAGAATGATCTCCCATCAACGTACAGATTACACAGGCAAATCACAAAAGAAATAACCCACCATACCCTCAACAACAAGGGGAATTTCTCCAACCCCTTAAACTTACAATGGATAGCTGAAAAACTCAACACAGACCAAGCTAAACCTTGAGCAGCAGACAAGGAAATAACAGACCAATCCACAACTTTCCCATCAACAGCCTCCCTTATTAAACCAAATCCATCGAATCCTAGCACCACAACTTGCACAAGCAGTACATAGAAACAACAAAATACAGAGAATTTAAACCCAGTACCGACTATAGCGCCCCGAACTTCACCATCAACACTAATGCTTCTCCTGGTTGGGCTTGAATTCCCAACATAATCCTCCTTAAGAAATCGAGTTTGATGGATAAAGACAAGTATTTGCCTTGCAGATATTAGGAAAAGGAAAACTATGAGAAGTGTCAGATTGATGCAAATGGAGGATAGTTCCAATATGGGCAAACCTTGGTTTGTCCCCAGAAGGAAGAAATGTAGTTGTCCGGCGGATAATGAAGAAGAATAAGCTGTAATGCTATTGAGAAAAGGAGTGAAGCCCATTGTTTGGAAAGCTGGGTTGTTCGTGAAGGAGAGACGTGAGAATCAAGCTGAGTCGGTGGCTTTGTCGATGATGTCGATGAATCAAGTAAGAAGAGAGATCAAATCGTGTGAAGAAGAGCATCTCACCATCTGAAGCAATGGAAAGAGCAAAAGAACAACACAGAGAAAAAAGGGTTATTTAGAGACGGAATCTGCAGACCCACGCATGAAAACAAAATAGATTTTAACAACACGAAAAACGAAGACTGAAACGAAAAAAAAAGGAAACGATTCCTTTTATTTCCACTCTCCCCGTCTCATCTCTCTCTATGATATCTGGTGGAGAGAGGCGATGGAGTCAAATAAAGGGGACCAACAATAAAAATGAAAATTGAATGAAAACCAAAATCTGAAACTAAAATACCAAAAAAAACGAGTTTCTAAACAAAACTGAACCTGCGTTTTTGTCCTTTTATCAACCAGAAGATGATGCCTGGGCTCTCTTCAAAAGCTCTCTTTTTTTTTCCCAAAAAAAAGCCAATCCTTTGTTTTCAGATATATTAAAGGAGTACCACTCCTACGCCATCATTCCGCAATCCAAATGAATTATATCATTGAACTGAATAAGATGCTGAGCAGGCTAAACCCAATAAACCATATAGAATGTATAGAAAAGAAAGACAAAAACGCTGGAAGAAACCTATGAAATGTGTCTATGCTACATATATAATATATGAAGAGAGAGAGATGTTTAGTGTCTCTCAGTTTCTCTTTGGTTTCGTCTCTCTTTTCGTTGTGGAGAAATCTTAAAAATGCCCTGTTTCTTTTTTCTTTTAACCTTTCTTAGCACTTGCCGTGTGAGAACCTACGTGGAGTAAGTCTACAAAAATGAAGGATCTGTTTTAGTTAAGGGTAAATTACAAATTTTACCATTCAACTTACTCTCACTCCTATTTTGATCAATGAAATCTAATAATTTTCAATTTAATTATTTAATTTTTGAATTGTCTCGATTTGATCACTCTACCATAATATCATAAAAGGTGTAATGACATGACTTATTTTTATTAATATTTTATTATGACATTGATTATTCCATAATTATTAGAGTTTAAGATTAGTTGAGAGCTCTGAAGGAAAAGATAACACACCAAAAATACACAGATTCTTTCATTTATAGATTAAGTTCAATGTTAGGTTTATGAACTTTTATGGTATTTTATGTTAAATGGACACCACAGTTGTTTCCAATAGTGTGAAACAAAGTTTGGTGAAAACATTGAGACCCAACAATCATAGCGGATAATGATTTGTCGACGATCGAAATAACGAACGATGCGATGATAAAAATATGAATAAGTTTAATAGAGGAAGAGAAAATAAATAAAATAAAATATCACATCGTTTTGGTTTAAATTTAATTTTTTATATGGAACTAAAATGGTATCATTTTGAAATGTCATTATATTGTTTGTTATTTAACAGTGAAGTGATTAAAAAGTATATTTCAAGGGTTTAATAACTAAATTAAAAATTATTATTAAGGCTCCTAATTTGTAGGTTGTTGATTATATAAATTAAAATATGTTTTATATATAAAAATCAGCATATTTTGATGATCATGGAAAGGAGGCCCCCCTATATTGTCTTGATAAAGAAAACGTTAGATCGTGATTTGTTTTTGTTATTTTCTATTGATTTGATCGAATAACAAATTTTAAAAAAAAAAGAAAATAAAAAGAAAGAATTGGGTTTTTGTTTGGCTTCGCTTTTCATTGTGCTGAGGTGGTCATGTGGTGGCAATGGCGGTGACTAGGGGTGTATTCGATTCGGTTCGGTTTAGTTTTTTATTAAAAATTGAATCGAATCGAAATAAACGGTTTTTTAATATTTAAACCGAAACCGAAACTGAATAGTTAAAAAACCGAAAAAATCGAAATCGGTTTTTTCGGTTCGGTTTGGGTTTTTTAACGGTTCGAGTTTTTCGGTTCGGTTCGGTTTTTCGGTTTTTCAATGAAAAAATCACTTGAAACTATAGTTTTTTTTTACAAAAATTACCTATTCGGTTCAATATGGAACAAATGGGTTCCATATGGAAAACCCGAACCGAATCGAATCAAAAAAATGAAGCTTTTAAACCGAACCGAAAACTGAACCGTTTAAAGCCAAACCGAACCGAACCGAACCGTTTTACTCGATTCGTGTCGATTTTTCGATTTTCTCGATTTCGTTGCTCACCCCTAACGGTGACCGGTGAAAGTGGGGCTGATTTTTTGACAAAATTTAAATTTAAATTTAAATTTATTTAAAGGGAGATGAATGAGACTTTATAAGAAAAAAAATTGAAAGCGTTCCTAATAAGTTTAAAATATATAAATTAAAAATATATAAAAGAATAAAAGTAAGTAACCTAGCAAACTGATTAAATATATTTATTCGAGACTGGTTTCGTTTTAATATTCGGTAATGAGGATACGACTGGTACCATCGTTTTAAAACTCATTATTAGATACAATGGTAACAAATTGTATTTAGATTTATGTATTTATTCAATCCTAAGAGCTTTTTTAACTATATTTATAGAGTAAATAAATTTGATCGATTGATCAAGTTATTCATATTTGATTTTTTATATTTCTGTAGATTATATATTCTACGCCCATCAGAAGCACTCTTCTTCATTTTTCTCCTCTATAAATAGGATTAGGATTAGGATTAAATTTAGAATTTGTAAAAAGAAAAAAAAACTCTATTAATAATGAAAGTAATATTTTTAAATATATATATAATTTAATGTAATAAGCTCTACTAATATGGTATAGAATAATTTTACTTAATTTTTTGGACTTAACCCAATAAACATTAGTAAAATCGAATTATTATTTGATATGGCTCTGAATCAAAAGTCCTTTGAAGGATTAACCAAATGCAGAGGGCAAACGATTATTTATTTGATTTTATTTTATTTTTGCTAAGTTAAAGTAAAAATAATAATATTAATATTTCATGGCAGATAACAGAAGCAGTCAGGTAAGAAAATGAAAAGAAAAGGGTCAGTAGTGGACCAAACTGTAAAGTTATGGGCGCCAACCTTTGTGTTCAACTTTATCTGCGTGTCCACTTTTCATATTTTCTTCGGCACTTTTCTAGGAAATTAAATGATTAAAATATTACAAAAAATAGATGAACCAAATGTATTGTTTGTTCCTCTGGATAAAGGTGGATAGGGCACAAGGACGATGAACCTCTTTTCCCGGCTCTTCTACCATTTCCATGTGGATTCTCGATGGCCTTCTTTTTCCAATAAAATTTGAAAATATTATGGGAAGAATTTGAAGAATACATTAATTGAAAATTTAATATAGAATTTAGATCATTTATTACTATACACTTAAATCTGTCATAAGAGAATGATAAAATTTATAAAATGTATTAAAAAATAAAATTCATCATATAGACTAAAAGAAAATTGTATATAACTCGTCATATCCTTATGACAAATTTAATTATTTATTATATTTTATAAAACTCATCATTAGTTTTACATATACATTAGCAAATGACATAGATCCCAAATTAATTTTCAAACACTTGTATTTCTTTAAAAAATCCACCTAAATTATTTGACAAGCGAAATCCCTTCTTTTCATTCTTTATAAATAAACTATATAACAAAGATATTATTTATAAAATATATAATAAAGTTCTATATATAGCATTCTAAAAAAACTATTTTTGATATTATATATAAACTATATAAGTTGTTTTATATAAATAATATATAATACTCATATTAATTGACTGGAGGTCGAATTTATCTCTCATTTCTGCCTATAAACAATAATTATAATCTTAGGGTGCGTTTGGTTCACAGAATGTAAGAATACCAGTGGGAATGTAAGATTATCAGTGGAAATGTAAGATTACCAAAGAATAGGATTATTGAGAATGTTGTATTTTGTGTTTGGTTGGTTTAACAGGAATGTAAGATTACCATGTTTGTTTAAAGGAATAAAAGATTATTGGAATGTATATTTGACCAAATTATACTTATTATATATTTGTTTTTTTAACAAGTTGGAAAATATTTATATATTTTATTTAAAAAATTTAAATTCATTAAATTTATATACTTTTTTTATAAAATTGAAAATATAAAAAGGTTTAATGAAAGGGTAAAATTTTATTTTAATCCCTGAACTTCATATAAAATTTTAATTATAGACTTTTTTTTGTAAATCTAAAATAGTTTAAGGATAAATTTGTAATTTAACCTTCGTAGAGTTTTTATTATTCAATGACATAAGAATGATATTTTGGAAAAAAAAATTAAGGGCATTTTAGTCTAAAATGCCAGTAATCCAACAATACCTAAGGAAAGAGAAGTAATGACATTCCCGTCAATATACCCAAAAAAATTCACTATTGATAATAAAACATTACCAGGAATGAGGTTCCTGACCAACCAAAACAACCCCTTAGTTTTAATACCACAACGTGGTATGGATCAATATATAAGAATTAGGTACCTGAAGAAAAGGGAATTCTTCGGCCCAAGCAGTTTTTTTACTATCCTTCTCGACTCTTTGTCTAAACCAGAAGAGGTAAACGACCCACAACTAATATAATCCTTATTAGTTCTCATCAACAATTGGTGTGATATAATTCAAAAAAAAAAAACAATTGATGTGGTGAATGTGAAACACACATCGAATAAAAAGAAAATCAGTCAAAACAAATTCTCCAAAAATGATCTTAATCGAAGTATACACTCATATCAATACGAAAAGGAATAAATGTGATCATAAGAGAACCTCAATCCTCAACATTGTCTGTCAATAAATCTTATCTTCGGAGCGTAATCTCTATGGGAGCTGTAGTAAAAAGATTATGATTTATGAAGGATTGAGAAGTCAATTTTGAATATTAAAATCCAAGTTTTTTATGAAATTGTTGATGATCTACTCGTAATCTCAGATCACATAAATAATTTCTTACTGTCAGAGAATATTGATATATAGTAGAAATGTTGTCAATGTGCTGCAGAGAAAGACTTTCCGAAAAATGAAAGGGTTAAAAGAACAATTAAAACCATGTGGTCTTGTATATGAGTTCTCAAACCATCCAATAGAAGTGAAAGAGTATCAACCTGTTACCATGGGTGATGGCAAACATACCACCATGATTGACATGTAGTTTCTTAATAGTAAATCAGTCCTATACATGTAATGACATCTTCGAGAGGTCATTGATGAGGAAAATCAAGTTAATATTATTTAAAATTTATTATTGATAAAATTATAAAAAAATAAAATATTTCAATCATGTAGCTTTTAAATATCTATATTATAAAATTTAATTGTTTAAAATATTAAAATAAACATATTAAAAGAATTAATTGCGACAAATTTAATGAGATGGAGGTAGTATCATTTATAATATTAAACATTAAAAATAAAGCCATGAAAGAAATCTCATTTAAGAAGCACTTGAGTTTTCTTTATTTATTAATGTTCGTATAACTTTACAGAAAACTTTAACAATCGAAATAAAGCTACTGAAATATCTTTGAGTTGAAGTTGTCAAGTTTGTTTCTTCAATACGTAGATTGCTTATCTAATCTCCACACATATTGTGCTTTTTATTCTCTCTTGATCTAAGAGTTAGGTTTAGAGACATGTGATTCACTTTCGTACGTGGTAGCCTATACCTAAACCCTAACTTGCTTCA